CAAGATTCTGAGTCAACCAGGTTTAGTAAATAAACCCCTGTGTGCCTCCATAGTAAATGGCTTACTCTCGGGACACACTAAGAAAAGGAGGAGCCAGAATTGCTGGCGAGGTACCTAAGAGGATTGGGGCCACTCTGTGCAATACCACTGCACAGAGCAGGCCAGTATACCATGTTTGTTACCAAATCCCCCCAACCCCCTCCCCCCCAGACATTTTTTAAATAAAAAGAACACCAACTCAAAAAGGAGGTAATGTTTTATTTATTCTATTATCAAACACGTCAACTTGTATAAAGATTGTCTCACTTTCGCTCTCACTCAACATGGACAATTTCTAATTATGCTGCTGGCATTAGTGAATAGATAGGAAAGTATATCAGATATACATATATTTTTAACCTTTTTTTGCATTCCTTCATTTACTTCCTGGTTTCCATGCCTAGGCAAATGATGTCATACATCCCAGGAGTCTTCATGAAAGGAGGGAGGGTTCTCAGCTAATGCCTGAGCAAAGAACAGATGGATTCCAGGAAGTAACTGCTACATGAATCATCTGCCCTTACTCTAGATGGCCACTGCCAGAAATACCAGGAGGTGTTTTTCAAAAGGATTTCTCAGCAAAATAAAGCAAGGAGGAGTTTTAGAATATTAAAAATGAATTATATAGCATTTTTAGTTTGTGTTACCGAGATGCAGTGCAGTTGCACTTTAATCTGGTTTTATGCGGTTTCCTTTTTAGTTTTATTTTGATCGCACTTCTAAAAAAAATATGCTACTTCTTTGATACTGCAGAATGTAACAGCAATTTTGTTTGCATATAGTGTTTTAATTTTTATTGTATTTCTTTCATTGTATCTAATATGCAATGAAAAGAGTTCAAAAATGTATTTATTTCAGGTACTTATATAGTGCTGTCAATTTACGCAGTGCTTTACACACACACATATTACATTCACATCAGTCCCTCACCTTCAAAGGGTGTACAATCTAAGGTCCCTAACTTACATTCATTCATACATACATATACTAAGGACAATTTAGACAGGATCCAAATAACCTACCAGTATGTCTTTGGAGTGTGGGAGGAAACCGGAGTACCCGGAGGAAACCCACGCAGGCACAGGGAGAACATGCAAACTCCAGGCAGGTGGTGTCATGGTTGGGATTTGAACTGACAACCCTAGTACTGCCAGGCGGAAGTGCTAACCATTTAGCCACTGTGCTGCCCCAAAACATAATAAAATAAAAAATAGCACCCCTTTTCGATTCCCAACATTATCCCAGTTAGAGCATAATCGTGAGATGTTTATAGCCCTTTTAATCTGGTCAGCTGCTGGACCCTTGGGAGCATAGCCAAAATTGATTTGCACATACTGAATGTAATGATCCAAAGTATGTTAAGTTGGTTGGCATAGATTTCTGTCAGCAATTTTAAATCACAATTAATTAGCAATATCGGTCTGTAATTTGCTACGTTGCTTAAATCTTTGTTAGGTTTAGGGACTGTGTAGATGTGAGCTCTGTTGGACTCTGTCCAGGGACAGACCTTGTCAGAGTTCATTAACCACTTGAAGACTAGGCCTATCCTGAAACACTTTACATGCAAAAATCATACAAAAGGTAGTAACTGTGGGGGATGGACTGGTTGGAAGAGTAGAAGATTCCAGTATTAGCTGAGGGCAGGATAGGCTTCCTTGAAGAGATAGGTTTTCAGAGATCACCTAAAAGTGAGCAGAGTAGGCGATAGTCTGATAAATTGGGGTAGAGAGTTCCAGAGGATGAGGGAAGCTCTGGAGAAGTCCTGGAGATGAGCATAGGATGAGGAGACAAGGGAGCTAGAGAGCAGGAGGTCTTGCAAGGAACGGAGAATACGGTTTGGGTGATATTTAGAGACAAGATTGTTGATGTAATTTGGGGCAGAGTTATAAATGGCTTTATATGTTATTGTTTTGAATTTTATCCGTTGGGCAACGGGAAGCCAGTGGAGGGATTGGCAGAGAGGGGTGGCAGATACAGAACGGTTAGTAAGGTGGATGAGTCTGGCAACAGCATTCATGATAGACTGAAGAGGGGATAGCCTGCGATGAGGTAGGCCAATGAGGAGGGAGTTACAATAGTCAAGGCGAGATATAACAAGGGAGTGAATAAGTTGCTTAGTGGTTTCCGAGGTTAGGAACAGTCGTATCTTGGAGATGTTGCGGAGGTGAAGTCTACACGATTTGGACAGTGATTGGATTTGGGGCTGAAAGGACAGATGGGAGTGTAGGATTACACCTAGTACCCTGGCATGAGGGGAGGGACTGATGATTGTGTTATTGATCTTGATGGAGAAGTCAGGGGAGGGGGCATGGGATGGAGGGAATACTAAGAACTCAGTTTTGGAAAGATTGAGTTTGAGGAAGTGGAGTGACATACATGGCGATATGTCACTTAGTAGGTTAGTAATGCGAGTGGAAACTGAAGGGGTGAGGTGAGGGGTAGAAAGATAGATTTGTGTGTCATCAGCATAGAGATGGTACTTAAAGCCATGGGAGTTTATCAAGTGACCAAGGGAGGTGTAGATAGAGAAGAGAAGGGGTCCAAGGACAGAACCTTGAGGGACCCCTACAGAAAGAGGGAGTGAAGAGGAGGAGGCAGCGGTATAGGTAACACCGAAGGAGCGCTGCGATAAGTAGGAGGAGAGCCAGGACAGAGCAGAGTCTCTGAGGCCAAGAGAGTGGAGTTTTTTGAGGAGGAGGGGATGGTCAACCATATCAAAAGCCGCAGAGAGGTCAAGTAGTAAGAATACGGAGTAGTGGCCATTGGTTTTAGCAGTTAGTAGATCATTAGTGAGTTTTAGTAGGGCAGTTTCAGTGGAGTGTAGAGAGCGAAAGCCAGACTGTAGAGGGTCAAGAAGGTTGTTGTCGCTGAGGTGAGAGCTCAGGCGATTGTAGACCAAGCGTTCTAGGAGTTTACAGGTAAATGGCTGCAGGGAGAAGGGTCTTAAGTTGTTCAGGTTCGTGGGGTCCAGGGAGGACATTTTAAGTATGGGAGTGTTGTGCGCATAGAGGGGAGGGGAAGGCACCAGTAGAGAGGGAAAGATTGAAGATGTGAGTGAGGGAGCATAGGATGGAAGAAGAGGGTGACCATAGTAGTTGAGGGGACAGGATCCAGGGGGCAGGTAGTGAGATGGGCTTCCGAGAAAACCTTAGTGACCTCTTCGGTAGTAGCGAGGTCAAAAGAGGAAAGTGTTGAGGGAGGTTTAGTATAAGGTATGCTAAGTGGGATGATGTCTGTGCCATGGCGATGCCCTACGAATTGCGTCAATCTTGTTTTTTAAATGATTTGCAATCTCGTGAGCAGTGAGTGAGGTACTGGGTGGAGGTGGAGAAAATAGAGAGTTAAAAGTAGAGAAGAGACGAGGACTGGATGAGAAGGTGTTAATAAGAGTGACAAAGTAGGCTTGTTTGGCAGGATGAAGGGAGGAATTGTATGTTAAGAAAGCAGATTTATATCAGGTGAATTCTTTCTGGGATTTAGTTTTACGCCACAATCGCTCCAGCGCACGACTAAGTCGTTTAAGATTTCTGGTGTGGTCAGTCTGCCACGGTTGTAACGGTCGGGGCCTGATGCTTCGTGTTGTTAGAGGAGCAAGTGAGTCTAATGCGGATGAAAGATATATATATATAATATATATATACACACATACATATACACATATACATATATATACATACATACATATATATACATATACATATACATACATATATATATACATACATATATATACATACATATATATACATACATATATATACATACATATATATACATACATATATATACATACATATATATACATACATATATATTAACATACATATATATACATACATACATACATATATATACATACATATACATACACACACACACACACACAGTTGTGTTCAAAATAATAGCAGTCAGACAGCACTAACCTGATCAATCACTGTTTTTGGTAGAAATGATATTTCTACATGGCAAATACTTTACTAGCAGGTATAGTAGAGTAATAGAAATCCAACAGTCCGTAGGGTTCAATATTAAGTTGGCCCACCCTTTGCCGCTATAACAGCTTCAACTCTTCTGGGAAGGCTGTCCACAAGGTTTAGGAGTGTGTCTATGGGAATGTTTCATTATTCTTCCAGAAGTGCATTTGTGAGGTCAGGGACTGACGTCGGACAAGAAGGCCTGGCCTATAACTTTTTTTTTTATAGGATTATAACTTTTTTTTTTTTCTTCTATAGTTGAACTTTTCTCTTTTTTCACCCGGACTAACTATGTACCCATGTATCTGCTCTAATTCATCCCAAAGGTGTTCTATCAGGTTGAGGTCAGGACTCTGTGCAGGACAGTCAACTTCCCCCACCCCAAATTCGCCCATCCATGTCTTTATGGATCTTGCTTTGTGCACTTGTGCACAGTCATGTTAGAACAGGAAGAGGCCATCCCCAAACTGTTCCCACAAAGTTGGGAGCATGAAATTGTCCAAAATGTCTTGGCATGCCGACGTCTTACGTGTTCCCTTCAATAGAAGAGGCTAAGCCCAACTCCAGAAAAACAACCCCACCATAATCCCCCTCCACCAAACTTTACACTTTGCACAATGCAGTCAGGCAAGTACCGTTCTCCTGGCAACTGCCGTTCTTCTGGCAACTGCCAAACCCAGACACGTCCATCAGATTGCCAGAGAAGCGTGATCCATCACCCCAGAGAACACATCTCCATGGCTCTAGAGTCCAGTGGTGGCGTGCTTTACCCCTCTGCATCCGACGCTTTGAATTGCACTAGGTGATTTAAGGCTTAGATGCAGCTGTTCAGCCATAAAAACCCATTTGATGAAGCTCTATACCCACTGTTGTGCTAATCTGAAGGTAGCATGAAGTTTGGAGGTCTTTAGCTATTGACTCTGCAGACAGTTGGCGACTTCTGTGTACTTCAGCATGTGCTGATCCCGCTCTGTCATTTATTGTGACCTACCAGTTTGTAACCGAGTTGATGTTGTTCCCAGTTGCTTCCACTTTGTTATAATACCATTAACAGTTGACTGTGGAATATTTAGTAGCAAGGAAATTTCACAGATGGACTTATTGCACAGGTGGCAACTTATCAGAGTACCACGCATGAATTCACTGAGCTCCTGAGAGCAACCCATTCTTTCACAGATGTTTGTAGAACCAGTCTGCATGCCTAGGTGCTTGATTTTATACACCTGTGGCCATGGAGGAGTTTGATAAGATTTATTAAAGTAGAAATATAGGCATTTTTTTTTTTTTTTTTTGAATACAGCAATGGAGGTTTACGATCCCTGTCACAATTTTGTTTTCACCATCTGTGTCCCACTGCAAAAGTTTCCCTTCACTTCCTGTCCCATAACCAACAGGAAGCGAGAGGAAATCCCTGTAAATTAAGGGCATTCCTTGGAGACCCCCAAGTCACCAGAACTAGAGTCCCCATTGGAAGATTTCCCCTGTATTACTTTTCTGGGGACAACACTAAATTTGGGATTATCGTGTACTTTCACTTTCAATGATATTGGCAAACAGGACAAAGAGGACACAACGGGGACACAGACAAGAATAAAAGCCTGACAGGTGTTCTAATCCCCCTCCACTCTACCCAAAACTTAAAGTATAACTAAAGGCAAAATAGTAAATTTCTTCTCTAAGAGCTCTCAGAGTGTCTCAAAGGATATGGTAGGTGTAAAAAGAATATATTTTGTGCATTTGGTCTAAAATTAGGAGCTGTGTAGAGGGTAGAATACTACAAGTTAAATTCTTTTACCACTGTTCAAAGATTCAGTGTAAAGGAGCCATTAGGTTTCCTAATTTTATGAATGGAAGTGTTTGGGTGCAAGGATTAAGCTTCCTGGCAAGTAATGAACCCAGTCAGCTTGGACGAATTTATTTCAATTACATTTTTTTGCATGTGGTATTTAGCTTTAACATACTCGACAACCCTTCTTTAGGCTTCTTACTGTTCTAGAGAGCATTACTCTGTCCATTTCTAACAATTACTCTCCTGCATGGTCAATTTCACATAGGCCTCTGATGGGGCTGTGTGGTTGCTTCAATACAAAATTAGACGTGCATGGCCCACATAATCAGGTAACTCTCTGTGGGAAAGGCCATGCAGCCATCACTGGCTGCATATTATAAGCATCAAGGGATGGGGGGGGGGGAATGAAACATTAACCAGTTCATTCTTTGGATGTACTACATATCTCCAAAAAAGGTGAAGGGTTAAGCACAAGCTGATGGCTGAAGTTTCAGTCATCAGCTTGAGCTGGTTTTCCTCAGCTGACTCCTGGCTGTAAAATACAAGTGATCCAGGTGGCTGTAAAGCAGTGCACTCTCTTTTACAGAGCAGGCAGTGCAGTCGCACCCCCCCCCCCCCCCCTCCTTCCCATGTGGTTCCTGGGCTCTCCCTCTCTTTCCCAAAGCACAGGACCACATCAGCCAGCTTCAGGATGCTGAGCAGGGGGGACCAAGGAACATCCATTCCTTGATCTCTTCTGCAGTGAATGAAGAGAGAAATGGCAGTCTCTGTCAGCCAGGGAAGCAACAAATCAAGAACGATCTGGATGGCAGGGGAGACACTTAAGATCTATTAAACCCCCAATGTCTTCATAAAGAGTACCTGTCACATGGCCAATGCTATCACATGGGGTTTGTCAACCCCTTGTGATAGCAATAAATACAATGGAAAAAAAAAAAGTGTTACAAAATAAAAAAAATAAAATGTATTAAAAAAATTAAAACATAACCCCCATTGCCCAGCACAAAGCCACAAATGCAAAAACATGCACACGTGAGGTATCACTGTGAATGCAGGAGCAAGAGCAATAATTATAGCCCCATATCTCACAGTTAATTCTAAACGAATGATTTGTAAAAGTGTTTAAAGTATTGTCCAAGGATATTTTTGGGTACCATAGTTTTTTGTGATATCACAGGTGCATAATATTTTATGAATTGAAATGTATGGTATCCATTTACCCGATGCAACCTCATCTTTTATATTTTAGCCAAAACTGGGTATTATATTGTGTGTTTGCACCAAAATTAATGAATACATTGTCAGGAAAAGTATAAAAACAGTTGACTAAATAGTTTGACAAAAAAAATTGCAACTACTATCTTATTCTCCAGGGCCTCTGCTTTAAAAAAATATAAAATATATCATGTTCCGAAGGGTGGGGGTGGGTTAGGGTGGTTGCGTAATTTTATACCAATTTTTTTTGTACAAAAGACAAAAAAAAAAAAAAATGCAGATATTGCTTGAGTGCCAAAGTGTTTTTTTTTTTTTTTAATAACTGGTTTATCATATACAGTTTGATAGCACACTAAATATAATTTGGGGTTTTGTTCAATTAGCCCAAACACAACTAGTACCTATATTTAAAACTTCAGAGTACATCAGAATATGAATTAAAAAAAAAAAAAAAAAAAAAAAAAAAAGAAGAAGAAAAAACAGTTTCCCTTCAAACCTCTATGTGGTATAGACAAGAGTAGAATTAGGAGTACAGTCAATGTGAGATGAGAACAACATAGTTGGCGGCTTGGCAGGATAATCTGACTACAATCCAATAGCAAATTTTGAAAGTAAATCGGGTCACAAAAGAAGTCAAATCACTACCCACCTTGTGGCTCTTTCAAAGCAAAAAAAAAAAAAAAAAAAAAAAAAAAACAGTAGTAATTCATTCAGCATCCAGAAGCTGTTTGTCTTAGAATTATCAGCAAAGCCACATCTTAACTGCCGTATTAGTAATGAGTGACATACAAGCAATAAATCATGGCACGTAAAGAAATATTTGTCATGGCTGAAATCTGTTTGCATAAACCACAACCATGACTAACAATGAGAAAAATAAAGGGTTTTGAAAGATTTTTTCCCTTGATATAAAGAAAAGTAAAACAATAACTAAGAAATGAAAAATTACCAGCCACTAATACACCTTTATATTTTCTTAACATCTCCACACGTTTTAAACTAACCGTTCAATATTCCAGGTATACCCATGAAAAAGTCTGTCCATGTTTCGATTAATCTTTTTATCATGTTTTATCATTTCCTCTTTGATCGAAGTGGGGGAAAAATATAACACATACCTTGTCTCTTCAACATTAAAAGGATAAGTTCACCTTTGGTTACAGGTTACATGTTTCACCCAATTTTAGTGTGGAACATGTAACATGATCCCCATTCTGCATCAGCTCCCCGATCCCCTCCCTCTCTGACAGTGAGCCAGGGATCTACTCCCCCACACCAGTGGTCACAATTTGATCTCATTTATAGAGTTCTGTGAATGAATGAACTAAAAGTACCAACAGCCTTTGTGGCTGATGGCTTGTAGTTCTCAAAGAGCTACCAAGGCATTGTTGAGTGGTCTAGGTAGTTCTTAGATTCTTCCCGTCATTGTGCAACTGTCTGCCTGTACGAGTGGACAGCTTACACTGACGGACTTGCAGGAGCCCTGTATTGCAACCTCAATCTGCTGATCGCATGTGCAATGCTTTCCAGGCTCCTATAAAAAAAAAAAATGATTGTACATGTACATTTTATCACCTGCAAACATATACATTCATTATCTTTTGTAAAGGGTTCACTTGCACGCCTAGCCACACACAGCTTCAGCATCTGCTGAGGTGAACGAACAATGTCATCTTGGCCCGGGCAATCAAACTAGCCAAAATTTGTATCCAGGAAAAAGACCGGCTGAAAATATCAACAGCCAGTGAGGGATCTAGGAGACACCACAGAGCTGGAGTGGGGATATGCATAGTTTTGCTGCAAGTTCGAAGGACTGTTGTGCAGTTGTACAGTTCACAAATAGTATGCAAGCCTTGTCTGCATTTAAATACTGGGTTGATACTAAAATTTATATTCTGCCACCCAACCAAAACAAACCAAAGGAAAAATCTAGAAAAACATTCTAAACATGACAGGATTTTGATAACATGATACAAATAGGCACATTAGAACCCCAAAAAAAAACAGATCCAGCCCAAAAATAAAAAAAAATTAAAATAAAAGGATTTCAAAATGGTATTTGGCAGCTCTCCACTATGACATTTTGTACTTTCTACACCGTAAAACTGCTTTTGTCTGAAGAGTGCAACAGCAGTTTCAACTTTCATCCCAACCTTATTATCTGACCAAGTCCATACCTTAAAGTGTTACTAAACCCACAACAGTAAAATCAGTCTGTATATGCAGTAAAGCATGCTTGATATACTCACTATGGAACCTAAGGGGCTAATCATCTGCATTGTGTAAAAATGCGGTTTGATCCTGATCTCTCTGATCCTCCTCCTTCCAGTGCCCCCTCGTATCTCCTGATAAGACATATCGTGTGGAGACACTCTGCACGTGCTCAGTTTGGTGTGTATTGCTAGAAAGGTTTTTTTTTTTTTCTTGGGCAAGTGCATGTGATCAGCACAGGGGCCAATCAGCGCCGTCTGGAGAGAGGGTCAGGGGTTCTGCATCCTCCTAGAGCAGAAACCACTCCTCCTACAAGCTTTAACCAGTGCTCTGCTGAACACTGATAGAAGTCACAAGACTGCGCCAACTGCTGATGAGAACAGGTATTTAGCATTTTATATTTACGAAAAATATTTCCATTTCCATGTAGTGCGCACTGTGGGAGACCAAATAGAGTGTATGCAGGGTCCTTGGTTTAGTAACACTGAAAAATGTAAAAAAATGTAGCCTTTACACAAAGCTGACTTAGTAATATCTGAGCCAGCATTGGCTGCCTCCTAGAATCATAAATATACAGGTAGAGCTATGGACATAAGGTCATTGTTATCTTACCTGCTCTCTTGGCCTCACTACAGGCAAAACCCATTTCGTCTTTGAGCTCTCGATTCTCATTTGCTATGGTTTCTCCAACAGTCACAAACCTCGCCACAGCCTGGTTCACAGCCTGGCCAACACGCTGAATTGCCTGCAGTGTCTTCTCAGATTTCTTTGGTTTTTCTTTGTGGTTTATCAGTGTTGTTATCTAAAAAAATAATATAAAGAAAAGGTGATCATCTTGCACTAAACATCAAAAAAGTATACACACAAATAAAATATATAAATATTTACATTGTGAGGAAAGTGTGGCACTGTCATTGTGTTTTTATTATATATATACACTCACGTAAAATATATCTGAACAGAAAAAAGGTTTTTCTTGGTTCAAATACTGCCTATAGG